CAGCAGGACTGTGCATCTAAAGGGGAGACAGTCAGTCTCCAGCAGCAGCAGCAGAGCGGTGTATTTAAAGGGGAGACAGTCAGTCTCCAGCAGCAGCAGCAGAGCGGTGTATTTAAAGGGGAGACAGTCGGTCTCCCCCTCCAACAACCAGGCTTCCACCAGGCTACCCTCCCAGTAGCGCTGGCAACAGGGCAGAGTGCCGCTGGTCTCTGCCCACGCAGCAACCCACCAAGTCAGCGTACCCGTACCCAGCACAGCCGTGGTGAGGCACCTGGACATGGACAAGCTTCCCCTTTACCCAGGTGTAGTAACCATTTATTGTGGGTGGGCTGTGCTGTTGATTATTTGTTGTGGGTGGGCTGCTGGACTAACAAGGGCACTGACCGGCAGGAGGTCAGATACCCTGTTAGTCTGTTTGGAAAAGGGGAGAGATGTGACGAGACCAATCTCGCCACATTGCATTGGAGAAGCCTGGTTGCTCGCCTGCTGCCTTTGGACTATGGCCCCCTTTTAAAAGACTTTATTTTTGCCTGCAGAAAAGCTGTATTCGTGCTTTTCTGCCTGGGTTTCAGTAGATTTGTTTGAATGTGTTATACCCCAGATGGGAATCCCATGGAGCCCATTCGTATGAAACTGACTGTAAAGACTTTGGCTCCATGGTGATTAAACTGTATTTGTGTGGTCCAAGCGCCATTCACTTAATAATGTGCGCTCAGACCTGAGCTATCTGGGGATATGTGAAATGTCTGTGTTTTATGTATAAATGTGACTTTATGTATTTTAAAGTGCTTTGTGTCTTTTTGCAACCATGTGCTTAATGGAGTCTTGTGTCTGTCCTGGGAGATAATTCAATTACTTATCTCCAGGATAGAAGACTCTGAAACTGGTTTGGGCCAGAAAGCCATGCTTCATTTAGTCACAAAGGACTTTTTACTAACTGTTGAACCCCTTGTCTGATTTGTGCCATTTTTGAATATGTTGTTCCCCTGAATGGATTGATTGAGAATATGTAATTTTATGTGAATGTGATGTATGGTTTTGGAGTTATGAAAGTTGGGTAGAAAGTATGTTTTAACTGTTTGTATAATTGAGTTTCCTCTCAGGATAAGGGGAGGGAATATGTGGGATGTAACTGTGATATGATTGGTTGTTTTATCCCTCCCTGTGGGTGGTCCTGTATTTGAAACACTGTAATAAAAACCAGGCTGGGTGTGCCAGCACCTCAGACCACTGCTTGACCCTCAACACGGAGCCTTGTCTCGTTCTTGGGGGGATTCACTGTATGCTGTTAGAGACTGATTGCCAGGAGTGTAAGCTGTTTGTCTGCTTTTCCTGTTCGTCTGCTAGCAGCTATTTGGGAGGTTCCAGTTCGGGAGTTGGAGTGCTATTTTGTATCCAGTTCGTGGGTTTTGGTGTTCTGCAGTATCTGTGCCTGCATCTCTGGAAAGGGGGCCGATCGCCTAAACGGTTTTTACCCCTTGTGTGCAAAACGGTCCGTTACAGGCAGTAAAAAGACTTCCATGTAATTGGGTGGGAACTTGTTATCTAGGTAATATTATCCCAGCGTTAACCCCTTCAAATAACCCATGAAGGAAGGATGAGGAATGAAAGAAAGGTTATTAGTTCTAAAAAGGATAAAACTGAAATAACTGTAAAATCTGGCGAAGGAGATAGGCTATTTGCAGGTTTTGTACCTACATGGAGGGTTATTGAATTAATGTACAAATTAAATTTGTTGGCAGATATACTAGAGGAAGCCTTTAATGATACAGGAGATGCCACTGAAAAATTGTCCACAGAACAGGAACAAGCTTCAGCTATGATTATGCAAAATAGGTTTGCCCTAGATTACTTGTTGGCCTCCAAAAGTGGTGTTTGTGCACTGATAAAAACAAGATGTTGTTTAACCCCTGAAGGACACATGACATGTGTGACATGTCATGAGTCCCTTTTATTCCAGAAGTTTGGTCCTTAAGGGGTTAAAGATAGATAATGTCACTGGACAGATTCATAAAGATGGAGACAAATTGCATGAAGTGCAAGTTAAACTTAGAGAGGTTCACAATACTTCTTCGGGGGGATTAAATTGGGGTTTTGACTGGAGTTTTGGTTTAACTAATTGGTTTCAGAACAATGGGAAAACATTCTTATTGGAGTTATTTTCATAGTATTGATGCTTGTGTTTATATATGTTGCAGTGAATGTCCTGAAGTGTTCATGCCGGTTGATTCTCAAGAGCTGTTCATCTTCATCTCCCCCTGGCACAATTTCTACTGAATATGCTGAAATGTCTCCTCACCGGTCACAACTCATACCGGTCGTAAATACAGACATACTTTCTTGTGAAGATATTGATCATGTGCGCATTTATTATTGAATCTGTGAATATTTTTTTGATACTTCCACAGGGATATAGTCGATTTTTTATACTTTGGGATAGAGTGCAGCTGTACAAGAATGATAGATGTTTGAGCACAAATAAATTATATATATGTACAACGTAAAAATGTTCAAGTCTAAAAGCGTAAATTGGGTTTGGGACAGAGCGTAGGTAACTTTTCGTTTTACTTTTACACTGGGACTCATTGGAATTGTATAACAGAACAGAACTAATATAGATATGTTTTAATTGGTTTTTCTTTTCACGCAATATAGACTTATATATAAAATATTTAGAACAGGAAGGAAGGGTAGGAAGGTACATTATCGTTATCTGTACGATTAATACTGTCCTTTATACACTAATTCATATTTATTCACATAATGTTGCTCTAATTAAATTTATATCTGGACTTTGGGAGAGAATAAACAGGAACAAATTATTTGGATTGGAGATTTTACCTGTGTAATAGACCCCAAACTTGATAAACAAATAATGAAAAATAGACAGATAGATAGAAATACATATATACAAGCTGCAAAATTTTGTTCCTTTGTCCAGGGAAATCTACTATTTCTTGGCGCACATTTAATGAAGTTTTCTCAAAAGTTTTCTCAAAAACGTATTCTGCATACTCGAGAATTGATTACATCTTGACACATAGAAACTCAATACAAAGAGTTAAAAAAATAGATATTAACTAAGTTACATGTTATATATAATAATTTTACCAAAAAGCGACCAGAATGGAAACGTAACGGATCGCTATTGGAATCCCCACAAAATAGAGAGTTTATTAAAAATATATTAAGCAATACTTCCAGGAAAATTCTTCTAGGGAGATATCTCCAATTACTGTATGGGCTGCTTTTAAATGTGTGATCCGAGGCCATTTTATAAAATTGGCTTTTCAAAATAAGGAAAACAGAGAAAGTTATCTCTCTGAATTATATATTAAACTAGAAAATCTGTCAGTAGTAACAAAGAAAGTCCCTCAAATGATAGCTCGAATCAAATTAATGACATTAAAAATTATATGAATGAGAAAATAATGCTTGAAACTTCCTAGAAATTAGAAAAACTAAAAGCTTACCACTATTATAAGAGCAATAAAGCGGACAAGCTACTAACAAACAAGTTGAAAAATATCCAAAAAGCCAAATGTATATCTAAGAATATATAATAATGAAACACTCTTGTCCCCCCAATAAAATAGCAAATGCTTTTGAAAGTTATTATGGTGACTTATATAACATCGGTTCTAAAGAGCCCCTGCAAAACACAGAATCTTATTTTCATGGGAAGGAATTTAAGAAAACTCCACAACAATTAGAAAAACTATATGAACCATTTACAATGGAAGAAATTACAGAGATTATTGATCACTCAAAACTTAATAAAGCTCCAGGACCTGATGGTCTGACAGCTATATTTTATAAATCCTTTAAAGAAGGTTTGGTGCCTTTAATGAGTTTGCAGAAAAAAACAGTCTTCCAGAAGACCTATTAAGGGGAAATATTTTCACTATACTAAAGCAAGACAAAAAAAAACATGAAGTTAAGAGCTATAGACCCATCTCTCTTCTGAATGAAAATTTTATGCAGGTATTATGGCGCACAGATTAAATTCTTTTATATCTGACATAATTCACATAGATCAGGTAGGATTTATTCCTGGGAGGACATCGGCTAATCATATATGTACATTATCTAATGTTTTTGAGATTTTGGGGCTTTACGTGAATCCAACAGGAAAAGTAATAGGTCAGGGCATCCTTTCTGACTCTTTTAAATTAAAAAATGGTACCAGACAAGGCTGCTCGCTTTCTCTGCTTTTATATGTTATGACCATTGAAGTACTGGCAATGGAGATAAGGAAAAACAACAAAATAAAAGGCCTTAATGATCATACGGAGATAAAAATAAAATTATATGCAGATGACGTACTCATCGTGATGGAAGACCCTGTAACTTCAATTAATGGACTAATGCAAGTATTACGTACATATAGCCATTTCTCAAATTAGAAATGAAACATCTCTAAGACAACGGCCCTTTCTTTTTTTATAACACCTCAAATGAAATCAGAGATTATGTCCAACTTTGAATTTATCTGGGCTAAGGAACACTTCTCTTATTTAGGCCTGAAAATCTCAGGAAACCCACAAAACTGGATGGAAATGAATTTCCTTCCACTGATTAGAGAAACTAATATAAAGTTAAAAACTTGGATTAAAAAAGAAATAACATGGTGGGGTAAGATTAATGCCATCAGGTCCTATGTTTAAACTAACATATATATTGAGTCTAATCCCAAGCAACATTCCTATAAATTGGATTAAACTATTACAAACCTCCTTTGCAAAATTTTGTCCAAAAAAAATAGAAGACGCAGTTTTAGGGATTCCATCCCTTATAATACTGGTCCAGGCCACTCTCTTAACACATGCAATACGTACCTTTCAAGCAGGGCCGCCATCAGGGCATGACAACCATAACGGTTGACATGGGCCCGGAGGTCCTGGGGGGCCCGGACTGCTCTGGCAGTCTGAGTCCCACATTCCTTATGTGCACAGATATAATTTCGCTATATATCTGTGCACTGAGGGCCCCCCTACCTGTAAATTGGAGAGGGGGGCCCAGCAGCACACTCTGTCCTCCTTCCAGCTCCTCTCTTTCTAACTCTCCTGCGGCTGCCAGAACGTTGTTACCATGGCAACGCTCCGCACAGCACGCAGGCCGGTCTCGCGAGAGTTCGTCAGAAAGGAACTGGAAAGGAAGACAGTGTGTGCTGCTGGGCCCCCCTCTGCAATGTAACGCGGCTGTCTCTCTCCACCGGACCACCAGGGAATGCGATCCCCCCCTTAATGCGAGGGGGGAATAAAATTAAAATTTTAAATATCGACAAATCTTTTTTTAAATACTCCCCTCCACCTACTTTACACAAACACTGCATCGTTACAAGCACACACCCACTACATTCACTGAACTCACTCTGCACTACACACACACACACACACTACATTCACTAAACACACACACTACATTCACTAAACACACTCTGCACTACACACACACTACATTCACTGAACACACTCTGCACTACATACACACTACATTCACTAAACACACTCTGCACTACATACACACACTACATTCACTAAACACACTCTGCACTACACACACTACATTCACTAAACACACTCTGCACTACACACACACTACATTCACTAAACACACTCTGCACTACACACACACACTACATTCACTAAACACACTCTGCACTACACACACACACACACACTACATTCACTAAACACACTCTGCACTACACACACACACGCACTACATTCATTAAACACACTGCACTACACACACTACATTCACTAAACACACACACTACATTCACTAAACACACTCTGCACTACACACACACACTACATTCTCTAAACACACTCCGCACTACACACACTACATTCACTAAACACACTGCACTACACACACACACTACATTCACTATACACACGTTGCACTCACTACAAACACACTACATTTACTAAAAACACTTTGCACTCACTATAAACACTGCATTCACTATACACACTCTGCATTCACCACAGTCACACTACATTCACATACAAATTTTGCATTCACCACAATCACACTACAGTCACCATACACATTTTGCATTCACTACAATCACACTACATGAACTATACACATTTTGCATTCACTACAATCACACTACACGAACTATACACATTTTGCACTCACTACAATCACTATACATACTTTGCACTCGCTGCAAACACACTACATTCACTATACACATATTGCATTCACCACATGCACATATTGCATTCACCACATACACTACATGCACTATACACACTTTGCACTCACTACAAACACACTACATCTACTACAAAAATACACACTGCATTCACTGTACACACACTACATCCACTACAAAAACACACACTCTCCATTCACTGTACACACACTACATCCACTACAAAAACACACACTCTGCATTCACTATACACACCTACATTCACTACACACACACTATGCATCTAATGCATGCATACAAACATTACACAAAACATACAATCTGCATCCACTATACACACTGCATCAATGACACACATATCACATCCACTATACACACTACATCCATGACACTCATTCTACATCCACTATACACACACACACACTTCATCCTTGTGGGCAGACTCAGGGCTGGCCCAGAGGCCCAAATCTTGAGCTGCGTCAGGGGCCCTAAAATTTCTGATGGCGGACCTGCTTCCAAGATCCATCCCAAGAAGAAAGCTGGTACAAATTAGAACCAGGAGAACAGCACAATTTAAAAATGTGTCTGCAATTTTCTGGTTATCTGATCAAGAATAGAGTTGAGCGAACCCTGTAAAGTTTGGGTTCGTACCGAACATTCCGTTTTTTGGACCCTGGACCCAAACATGGACATATCAGTGTATATTCAGGTTGGAGTTCGGTGTTCGGCGATTTAATCAGGGCCGGACTGGCCTGGGATACCGGGAAATTCTCCGGTGGGCCGTCGGCACCTGGGGGTTGCTTGGTTTAGTCTGGCAAATTTAAACTTTGCCTAAATCAAGCAGCAACCAATCAGCTGAAAGGCATGAAACCAATTTGCGCCAATGAGCGCTCAGCGAGGAGAGGGGTTTCTTCGCTCAATCAGGAGAAAGGTCGCAAAACCCCTGTGCACCAATCGGTGCTTGAGGAGGAGAGGGGTTTTGCCACCCAATCAGAAGAAAGGGTGCAACATGGGACCTGAGACAGTGTGGGCAGGCCCGTTCGGGATACGAATGCCTCCCCTGGTTGGCGTTCGGCTATACAAACCAGCGGCCACCCAGGAGAGCATTACTTAATAATTTCCCTTGCGGTTTCAGAACATTCTAATGAGTGTTCTAAATGGAAACTCAGGGTAGTTCCCATTCGGGAGATAAACGGGTTCTGTTCGTATGAGCTCTCCTGAATGGGTTAACAGGCAAAATTCATGAAATATACAACAGATACATGGGGAAACAGAGAATACAAAGGGAAAACACACAAATAAGCAGTTGGCATGGTACTTAGTGACGGCGGTCGGTAACAGAACCCTCTTCCTATATTGCTCTAGGGTGGGCAATTAAGTCCCTAGCAGATCTGTGCACAAATACATTTTTGCAAGTCTTTTGTCTCCCATTTGAAGAAGAAGCATGATTTAAAGGACCACTAAATTTATCCAGGCAACTTCATCTCAATAAAGTAGCCAGGATGCAGTGGTCTTGTCATTTAACCATTTAAGGGAACCTTGAAGGGCCAAACACTCCTCTTGTTACACTAGCAGCCACTGGAGGCGCTTGTGCTGCAGCGACCAAGTAATACTCAGTCATGTGACATTGCAGTCCCCATGGGGACGCTTGGATGTGTGAGCATGCATATCAGATCCTCAATGCTCCTCTATGAGGATCATTGAATTGGACCCTGATGAAGGAGGTCATGGCTCGTTGATTACATTGTGGTACGAGGAGAGGTAAGCAGCGCTGAAGAAGCCTCAAGATGGAAAAATATGAGTAGAAAAGTTTTTTTTTTTTTTAATTTAAATAATTAATTTTATGGCACACACAGGGTGGTGGGGGTCTTTAAAACTAAGGACAGGGACACTTAAGCATTAGGAATACAAATTCCTAACGCTTTAGTGTACCTTTGACCACAGCTTGGGACATGAATGTTCCAAAGAATATTATTTTTTATTTTTTATTTACTCTTGAGAGACTGAACTCATGCACTGTGATAATATATATGTTCATATTTGTGACAAATCTTCTTATCAGTTTACAGTTAGGAATCCTATTTTCTGTGAACTTGCAAATGATTCATTTCTAGAATGGCCACTCTACAAGACAGTTAAAGGAACACTATAGTCACCTAAATTACTTTAGCTAAATAAAGCAGTTTTAGTGTATAGATCATTCCCCTGCAATTTCACTGCTCAATTCACTGTCATTTAGGAGTTAAATCACTTTGTTTCTGTTTATGCAGCCCTAGCCACACCTCCCCTGGCTTTGATTGACAGAGCCTGCATGAAAAAAAAAACTGGTTTCACTTTCAAACAGATGTAATTTACCTTAAATAATTGTATCTCAATCTCTAAATTGAACTTTAATCACATATGTAACGGACCGTTTTGCACACAAGGGGTAAAAACCGTTTAGGCGATCGGCCCCCTTTCCAGAGATCCAGGCACAGCTACTGCAGAACACCAAAACTCCCGAACTGTATACAAAATAGCACTCCAACTCCCGAACTGGAACCTCCCAAATAGCTGCTAGCAGACGAACAGGAAAAGCAGACGAACAGCTTACACTCCTGGCAATCAGTCTCTAACAGCATACAGTGAATCCCCCCCAAGAACGAGACAAGGCTCCGTGTTGAGGGTCAAGCAGTGGTCTGAGGTGCTGGCACACCCAGCCTGGTTTTTATTACAGTGTTTTCAAATACAGGACCGCTCACAGGGAGGTATAAAACAACCAATAACATCACAGTTACATCCCACATATTCCCTCCCCTTATCCTGAGAGGAAACTCAATTATACATACAGTTAAAACATACTTCTACCCAACTTTCATAACTCTAAAACCATACATCACATTCACATTAAATTACACATTCACAATCAATCCATTCAGGGGAACAACATATTAAAAAATGGCACAAATCAGACAAGGGGTTCAAAAGTTAGTAAAAAGTCCTTTGTGACTAAATGAAGCATGGCTTTCTGGCCCAAACCAGTTTCAGAGTCTTCTATCCTGGAGATAAGTAATTCAATTATCTCCCAGGACAGACACAAGACTCCATTAAGCACATGGTTGCAAAAGACACAAAACACTTTAAAATACATAAAGTCACATTTTACACATAACACACAGACATTTCACATATCCCCAGATAGCTCAGGTCTGAGCGCACATTATTAAGTGAATGGCGCTCGGACCACACAAATACAGTTTAATCACCATGGAGCCAAAGTCTTTACAGTCAGTTTCATACGAATGGGCTCCATGGGATTCCTATCTGGGGTGTAACACATTCAACAAAATCTACCAAACCCCAGGCAGAAAAGCACGAATGAAGCTTTTCTGCAGGCAAAAAATAAAGTCTTTTAAAAGGGGGCCATAGTCCAAAGGCAGCAGGCGAGCAACCAGGCTTCTCCAATGCAATGTGGCGAGATTGGTCTCGTCACATCTCTCCCCTTTTCCAAATAGACTAACAGGGTATCTGACCTCCTGCCGGTCAGTGCCCTTGTTAGTCCAGCAGCCCACCCACAACAAATGCACAGCCCACCCACAATAAATGGTTACTACACCTGGGTAAAGGAGAAGCTTGTCCATGTCCAGGTGCCTCACCACGGCTGTGCTGGGTACGGGTACGCTGACTTGGTGGGTTGCTGCGTGGGCAGAGACCAGCGGCACTCTGCCCTGTTGCCAGCGCTACTGGGAGGGTAGCCTGGTGGAAGCCTGGTTGTTGGAGGGGGAGACCGACTGTCTCCCCTTTAAATACACCGCTCTGCTGCTGCTGCTGGAGACTGACTGTCTCCCCTTTAGATGCACAGTCCTGCTGCTGGAGACCGACCGTCTCCCCTTTGGTTACCCATTTCTGCTGCTGGAGGGGGAGACCGACTGTCTCCCCTTTGGATACTCTAAGATGTCGCTGGGGAGAGGGGGTAACAGGCTCCTCTCCCGATAGAACACTCTGCCGCTGGGGAAAGGAGACTGAGCTCTCTATTCCCTGCCCAT